TAAAACAGTATATGAGGGTACCATTGCTAGCTAGACAAGCAGGGACTGCTATCGGGCTGGATTTAAGCTGTTTGGCATTAAAGTATCTGACAATTGTTGCAACGTCAGTCCCCTCAGAACGCCTGTTTTCTCTAGCTGGAAATACTTTGACAGATAGTCGTAATAGGCAAGATCTTGTGCGTCTATCTAAATTATTATTTTTGAAAAGTCTTAATGTAGATAGTTGGAATATGAAATCAGTATTGTTAAACATGTTTTCAAAAATAGTAATTCAGAGAGACTCAATGAGCAACATATTACGGCTTTATGTCAAAGGGTTTGATTTTGAATGTTTAAGTAAGTTTTATAGTATATTAAGTTACCATAAACAATTTTGAATGCATATGTATTTTTTCATTATTTTTATAAGTTTACTATACGATCTACAGAAATCGTAAAAGATCGATTCAATGCAATACAATTAAAATCGTGAATCGATTCACGAGGTCACGATCCATTACGATCCAGAAGATCGATTCAAAGCAAAAAATCGGGCATCCCTAGTCTTCATGCGGCGCAAAATATCAAAGCTATTATAATCAGAATAATAATAGAATTTGAGATGTACGTAACCCACTTGGTCTCGCTTAGCATATTTTGCGCAGCATGAAGAACAACAAAGATCGTGTATACTTTTACAAAAATGACTAAATAAAAGTTGACTATATAACAAACGGTAAAAAAAAACTATTTCATCATCAGTTATTTCCTTTCTGCGATATACATATATATTTAGTTTATCATTTTTTATCAACGAAAAAAGAAAATATGTTATTTATTTGGACAATAGTTTACATATTAATGAGTAAGTTACGCTTATGTGAACTTATTTATAGTTTGATGTAAAATTAAAAGTTACTATAGTGGATTAAATAAAAAGACAAATAAGATTAATATTTGAGCAGTCGGGAATCAACATTCATTCTCAATGTCTCAGTTTAGTTGAGCGGTAAGGCTAGAGGATTTTTTTTATTTATCGCGTATTTAGTGTCGCTGCTTATATTTTTAATTAAACCATGTTAAGCCAAACGTAATAGACGCCACAACTTCAAAATCCACGTCTGCTATGTTTGCCTGTCCGGAACACACTAACACACTAGCAAGCATGTAAATGGCATTCAATTGGAGCTTGTGGACGTTTGGCAAGCGCGTAAACTAGGCATTACATATCCCTATACTGGGTGGGTGAGGCGGTCAGAGGGGGGGCAGTCTTGGTGGGAGAGTGGATGGTGTCACGTGACACTTAGTACTTAGTAGATTGACTAAGGCAGTCGAGTTTCTCAATTTTAAACATTAAACTCTGGTATAAAGATTACCTTAAAATAATTTGAAGTATAGTTATTTATTATATTATAGTTATTACTTTAAAAATATTTTTTCCAGTTTCACCTTATGCCTCAGAGGCCGCCAGTCTTGTATGTTACAAGGGGTACGTATGTCAATATCTAAAAGTTATTTAATATTGAAATTTGTAATAAAATTTTCTAGTATAGTAATAATTAGACTATTCGATTTAGTCTTTGACAAACTATCTCAAATAAAATTTAATGCTCCATTTCAGGTCAATAACGAATTTTAAAGAACTGTCTCTCAAGGAAAGTCCACAATTTGTAAACACAGAGTACTTACCAAAGGGCTGCAAATTAACCATCGTTTGCCACGGATATGGCGATAGTATTAGCAAAAATATTTTAAGCATAGTATCAAGCTTGATCAAGAAATATGGTGCCGATAGATGTTACTGCGCACTAAACTGGAAGAAGGAAGCAGCCGCCTATATTGGCCCGATAACTAAACCCATAGCTAATGGTCTCGGGGTGGACACAATATGGATTGATTATCCTGCCGTTTCAGCTATAGCTCTTTTAGTGGTAACCATACTCATTTGATATTAATACTAACACAGTACTTCCTAAACTATTTTATTTTATATGCCCTATTACACATGGAGAAAGCTAACAGACACACTCACACACACAGCATGCATACAAAAAAGTTGTTAATTTTAAACACGAAAATAAATTATTTTCTACATAATTTAATTATCCACCGTCAGGAGTGGTATTTTTTCTTCACGTTTGGAAAATAATAGTCTAGCACATTCACACAACGCCATCTAGTCCCAATCTAAGCAGAGCTTGTACTATGGGTACTAGATAACTGAGATAAATACTTATATACTTTTTTTTTTTGTAAATACATTAATATTCTACTTAGATGGATGGAACCAAAGTGCAAATATACTCTTCCAAATAAAAAAGATATTTCCAAATTGGTGTACAAACAAAAGAGTTTTGAGGTAACTAACATGAAAATAACGTGTAAAAAACAGTTTTAAAGTAAAAATTTCTTTAGGTGAGTTGGGCATTTTTTAACAACAAATAAAAAAATGAATATTTGTTGTGACACTGTTACCGTTACCGACATCTCTGTATATCTACAAGTATCTACATATGTTGCACACAAACACCTAACAAATATCTTGATAGAATAAAACAAGGTCAATACATTGTTATAATATTTAAAGAGTTATCCTCTAACTCCTAAAGGTCAAGGACCCTTCCATTGTCAACTCAGCAATATAAGATAACGACTACCAAACGTGTATAGCTAGATAAACTAGCAAACAAGCTGAACGAACTTGTCGTAGCTGTCAAATTGGAGCGTTTCCCTTAATTTCTCTGGGATCCCATCATGAGATCCTGATTTTGTGGTAATAAGACTACTTCGGGATAACCTTTTCATTCCAAAAATAATTAAGAAAATGGGTGTACATTTAACGGAGATATCGCGTAATAATCATAAAAAAATATAGTCGAAATAATAATAATATCTATATTTATTTATTTCCACCAATTACACAAGTCTTTATTAAGCCTAATTTGATATTCCTAAGTTGACAAATGTGTGGTTTAATTGGTAATTTGTGGGAGATCTGGAGTCCAAACTAAGCTTTGGCCTGTATTTTAGAGCTCCAGGCCCCTTCCAATATTGAAGTCACAGTAATATTGTCAATGCTGTGTTTAAGCGTGGATAGTTATGTATGCGTGCGTGTGTAAGTGTATATGTGTTACATATATATATGTGTGTGCGTGTGTGTGTGTGTATATACAATAATGGTCTTTATTATCACAGACTACGCCACTATCTCTAGCAACTTTTCTGTTTCTAAATAGTTTAGATTGAGTAGTAACTTTTGTATTTTGTCATTGTCATTGTTTGGTATTCACTATGAGCATATAAAATCTAGATTTCATATGCAATATGCGAACACGAACTCAGTATGATAATGTACTAATGTGGGTTGCAAAGGTTAAGTTAGCGTCTATTTCGATTCCAAGGTATTTTAAGCATTGAGTGCGTTCAATGATGGAACAGTTACAGAACAAGTAGCTATTGGTGGGAAGTTACAATTATGTGCAAAAATATAATAGTTGTGGGTTGTTATATCGATTGTGTTTTCTATTGAGAAGTTAATGTATTTAGTTTCACTTTCATTAAGTGTAAGTGAGTTTGATAATAGCCAGTGACACACAATGTTAAATCGTATTTGAGCAACTTCAAAAGTTCACTCCATGAATCAGCGAAACTGAGCTTACTGAGCTTGTTGATGTAGCAGAGACAGAGAGTTGGACCACCCCAAAATCAAAAGAGCCTCCTCTTTTGTGTTTTTGAAATCGGTTAAAAATATGAGAAATTATTGTATGAAATTACTGTACATTACTAACTACTGACACTTTGTAAAAATTAAGAAAACAATAAATTATTAAGCCTATACTAGCAGTTAATCTATTCCGAACACAACTATATCTTAAAACCAGGCTAACTATGGATGATTTTTTCAGGCCAAACATTTGTCTAATGCCTTACGAGGAATGCAGTCTCGTGGTTTCAACATATATGATCTTTATCTAATAGGACATTCAGAGGGTTCTCACCTTTCTGGAAATGTAGGCAAGATGATGAAAGAGTCAGGAATTACTATTAAAAGGTTAGTGCGAACATTCTGGCATTGAAATGGCTTTTATACAAAGAGAATGGTCGCTATCATCGTCTCACTAAATAGCCAATTCCATTCTGTAAATAGCAGTTCAATTGTTATGTTGTAAACCTTAAGTGTAACGGTTGCAAAGAATAAAACATTATTGAATGCTAACCACTCGAAAAAGAATTCGAAAAAGATTAAATTTCGAAACTATATTTCACCGACCTAAAATAGAATTTTGAAAACTACTGCGAGATGATCATCACTCAGTATAATAAATTATTTATTTATAGAATCACCGGCCTCGATCCTGTGAAACCAGCAATCGAGCCTATTCTACAAAAGGGAGATGCAGAATTGGTAGATTGTGTGCACACAAGTTTCGGTTTATTTGGCAATAATGAAAGTGCTGATTGTGATATCAACTTTTGGGTCAACTATGGGTGCGAAGTTCAGCCCGGCTGTAAAAAAAATGCTGCGCCGCTTACTCTCCCAGGTTTGATAAAAACTCTTTTTTTGCCATTTTCTTTTGAAATCTGAATAATAAAAACTGTCAATCCAATTACAAAACTGTTGTCTAGCATGCTTATGTTTCGTGGTTTTGTGCTATATATTTAATGGATAATAGAAGCCCAAACGGCATAAGACGCTCTAAAAAACATTTAATTTTTTTATTAAATTAAGAACACATTTTATTAATTTATTGCAATAATGTGTATTTTATTTATAAGAATATAAAATTTCAAGCTCAAGTTAGCATATCGTGATCTTATTCAAATACTCATTTAGGTAGTGTTTGTTAACTGCACTTGTATTTACGTCAAATGATGATATGGATACGTTACGGGTACGATATCTATTTATACAGACAAGACTAATGCAAAAAAAATCAAGGAAACAGCATGCAAAATGAAGAATCTAACTAAATAAGTTATTGTTAACAGCTTTCTGCAGTCATGACCGTTCAATAACATACATGGCCGAAGCAATACTGAATTCGAGTTATCAAGGCAGAAAAGCTGCCACTTACGAAGAATTTACACAAAGCAGTGGCACCCCGGATCCGGATAATGTGAATATCATTGGATCCGACATCAAACCGAGGTAACATACTCAAAAATTATTATTCTAATACAACACAAAATAAAATCAATAGAAACACATCGAGAACTTGCAGGAGGATTTTAAAATGTTTAGTGTTCACAAAGAGCGATTTTTTTTCTATATAAGAAATTCTACAAAATTTGGGAGACGGCTACGGTGTTAATGTTCAGCAACTTCCAAAACTTTATTTTGCAAATATTAAAAGCATTTAATATGAAAGAGTAAAAGATTTTTTTTTCGAAGAGAAAGATCTGGAATAAACTACCAACTAGCTGGCCTCAATAAAATTATGGTACACTTAAATAAAGAAAGTCAATTGTGAAGAAACAGTATGCAGAGCCCAAATGGAATATCATTACTGCCATGGAAGAAGCGTCTCATACCAAAGCCTTATCAGCTTTGGTATGAGACGCAAGTTGCTTCGACATCCTTATGTCATTACATCTTCCAAAATCAGCTGGTTATATCGACGCTGCAGCTGCAACCGCAGAAAGCCTCAAAAGCATAAATACAAAAATTTCGAGGTTTTGGGGTCGAGACTACGACTCTACGTGTGTACTCGTTCTATTTGTAAAAAAACTGGCTAAACGACCTCTTGACACGTCCTGTGACCAAAAGACTGGCTTTTAGATAAAAGCCAGTCTTTTGGTAACTTTTGGTCGTCTTTGGCACAGAGAATTAGGATTACCATTCAAAGTGGCAATGCAGTCAGTCTTCGGGGAACACTATCAGAACCCGACGACGAAGAGAATTTTATGACGATATTAGTTAATAGACAGAATCTTATTATACTTTTAAATATAAGTAGGTATATTTTCTTTTTACAGTGTTACCGGTAACTTCTACTTGTGTACAAATGCAGAACCAGAATACGGCAGAGGCCCCGCTGGAATGAACCCTTCGAGTTGCACATGTCCCACAACATAAACTTTGGAATATTTCAATTTGTTACAATATCTATAAAGGTCTTTTTTTTTCTATTTCGGAATACAATCTCAATAAAATCTACACTAATAAAAAGATTTTCTCCGGTTATTATTAATTGCAGTATCTCGGCGCGCAGCTGGTTCGAATTAGACACAATCGGGAAGTCAAATTTTCGACCACTTAATCGAACAACTGTGTCCAACATCTATTTTTATCGATGTATCTATCTCCAAATACATTAAAACCGAAAAACTCTGCCGCATCAAGAGTCTTTAGCTAAAAAAATAAGAAATCAGTACGTAGCCTATTGACGGTAACAATTTGCCGGGATTGGCTTCAACAAATTTCGATTGCCCTATAGCGCTTCATTCTAACCAGCCGTGACGATCATAAGTTTGAAATCCATTTGAACCCTAATAGCATAAAATTGTCTATTTAATAAAGCATTAAACATCATGACAATAGTTATTCATTTATATAATCTCTGAAAAGTACCTACCTAGGTAATACGATTTTTTATTTACTAAAACTTTATGCACTTTTATACATCAGCAGAGTTAATACCCAAGGCATTCTCTTCCTGTCAACCCTGTGGGTGGTGTAGAAATCTTGTAAGGTAGGTCCACAGAAGCTACATAATATAATCAATGTAAAGAAATATACACAGGTCTTTTAAAATATACACAGAAGGAAAATTTGACACAAACCCTATGCCAAACCATCTGCCCAGCGTAGTGGTCCCCTCCTTTCTAAGGAGATGCCTATGATTAGCATTGGACTATCACTATGTAGCCGCTTTTCTTCTCAGGCGGACTACTCACCGGCTGACCCAGTGGAGAGGTGATTTGATTTGATTTGATTTTGATTTAGAGATTCACAAGATTACCTCAGGGCGCCTTTTATTAAACAGAAGTGTGTGCGTGTGGGATACCTACGGGACCCCTTAGAGAAAAACAACTTACACCTCAGTCACACATACATGTATATTTCAATAAAAAAATCAGTTACAATAAAAAATAGTGGGTATATTAAAAAAAACCGCAGCGGCGCGCGTCAGAGCCGAGCTGATGCTGCTCGGAGCCTCCTCGTCTTCAATCCAGGAGGTCACTTCCCCTTACGCCCGAGTCGGCTATTTATATTAGGTATAAAGGAAGGTTCACCAATGATATAAATAAAGTTAACGAGAAGTACGTAACCCTTGAGTACGGCTGTCCGCTTGTTTGGTGAGCCGCGTGACTGCCAGTTTGCCAGAGGGTACCAAGAAACTTGATTTCGCACCAGAAGGCCACAAATGAACAAGCACGCCGTCTGAGAATGACCGTCCTGACCCGAAATCTGGGACCCTACGAATGGATTAGCACTCATATTATCGATCAGGTTCCAGAAACAAATAAGTACAAGAAAATTATGAATATACTCACCACTTGCGTGGGTACTTCGAACAATAAAACATTACTAAAAAAATTACTACATTGAAATTACCAGACAAACAAAATACTATTTAAGGTCGGAAGACAAGAATTAGCAGAGTGTCCCCTGTGGCTGAAAGCCGGACTTATATATGTTCGGTTCGTGAAGTTTCCAGAAAGAATCCCTACTTCAATATTTTAAACTGTCACTCAAATTATTATCTAGGTTAACACGAACTAAATCAAAAGTAACTCGCTTCCTACCATAACAGGTCACTTATAACACCAATACAATTTATCAGGATAAATTAATCCAATGACTTACCTATAAAACAACGCCATCTAGTGGTCCGATAGCGGACGAAGAACAACAATACCATAGTTACAAACTACTTTAGATAAATCAACAAATGCGACGCGAGGCAACAGATGTCGCTTTTTACAACTCCGTATGCATTACAAATATACTAAAAAAATAACTGTTACAACTATACACTTAAATAGTTCATACCATACACTTAAATAGTTCATAGTTCATTTATTCAGAAACAATAATATAATTGTGTTTGAATGTATAACAATTCGCCATAATACAAAAACATTTACAAATATGTAACACCAAAAATATAAAAAACATAATAATAAAAAAAAACAAATAAATTTGATAGATTTTACAATATGTCATGCAGAATACAAAAAACAAAAGAAAGCGTCGAAAAACAAACGATAAATTATTAAGGCATTTCATGATTCAAGAATATTATTCACAATATTTATTATTATTACATAAGTTATTAAGTATTTACTTGCATATATTTTTATTGATAAATTCATTGATGGAATAATAGTTATTTTCCAACAGGAAGGCTCCAAGTTTTCGATTAAATAAAGAAGTCACACAATATTTATTATTATTACATAAGTATATTAAGTACGAGTATTTAATCTTATATATAAAATTCTCGTGTCACAATGTTCGTTCCCGTACTCCTCCGAAACGGCTTGACCGATTCTCATGAAATTTTGTGTGCACATCGGGTAGGTCTGAGAATCGACCAACATCTATTTTTCATACCCCTAAATGGTAAGGGTGACCCATCCCTAATTTTTTTTTGTTTTGCAATACAACATTTGCCGGGTCAGCTAGTTGCATATATTTTGATTGATAAATTCATTGATGGAATAATAGTTATTTTCCAACAGGAAGGCTCCAAGTTTTCGTTTAAATAAAGAAGTCCTATAAATTACGCTTTTATTTATTTCCGGTAAACAGTTAAAAAGCTTAATAGATTGATACTGAACACAGTGCCGAGCTATATTCAATCTAGGGTTTATTGTATGTTGAATATGTTTCCTCCGCGTGCTCTCTCTAACCAACCTCTCTTCGTGGGTTTTAACCTCATGCATATATTTGGACAAGTAACACAATGTTGTTAATATATACAAACAAGGCACCGTCAATAGTCCAAGACTTTTAAAATGTTCTCGACATGATTCTATTTGGGGAATGCGGACTATAGTTCTTATAGCTCTTTTTTGTAAAATGAACGCCCTCTCTATATTATAAGCGTAACTATTTCCCCACATTTGTATACTATATCTGAACTTTGACTCTATTAGCGCATGGTAATCGGATTTTTCTACTTCTCCAAGGCTCCTAATTGCATAGCACGCTGAAGAGATTGAGGTGTCAATAGATTTTATCTCTTCTTTCCAATTGAGCAATGCATCAATATGAACCCCCAAGAATTTAACAGAATTCACGAATTCTAATCTCTCTCCATTAATCATAACGTCTAATCTATCGTTAATACTGGCTGTCGAATTAAATAAGATTGGGTTTGTCTTTTTTGTGTTAACTATAAGCTTGTTAGCTGCAAACCAATCTTCAAAAGTTTCTAGTGCTCCAATTATTTTTACATTTAAGGAACTTAGGTTACTTGCACTAATCGCAGCGTTTGTATCATCTGCAAAAACCGTGAGTTTAACATCTGGCTTTTTTACGCTTAAATAGGATAGTAAGGCATTTGTAAAAAGTGTAAACAAAATAGGCCCTAATATGAAACCTTGCGGTACGCCCTTCCTGACATTTAAAAGTTGTGATCGGTGTACTTCTTGACAATTGTTTTTTCCTACCTCCTTAATTTCTACATAAAACTTTCTATTTTTTAAATATGATTTAAATAACTTTAAAACATTGCCCCTTATTCCATAATGTTCCATTTTAATGAAAAGCAGTTCATAATCCACTGTGTCAAAAGCGGAACTCAAATCCAGAAAGATCTCAGCCACCTTGACTTTTTTGTTAATATTTTCTATGACATCATTAATTAAGGTATTGATAACATCTGTCGTAGCGATACTTTTTTGATATCCAAATTGTCGCCGATTTAAAACTATGTTATTATTCAGATGGCTAGTGAGACGGCTTTTAATTAGATTTCAAATATAAGTAACACGGAAATCGGTCTGTAATTTTTAGGGTCGGTTTGTAAGCTCTTTTTGTAAAAATTTATAATCTTTGCTATTTTCCATTGTTCTGTGAAAATGCTATTTTCAAAGCCTTTATTATAAAAATAAGACAGAGGTAAAGCTAAGATCGCGATATGCTCCTTTACTACCGATATTGGCAATTCATCAAATCTACAAGAATTTTTATTAAAT